AGTAAGGCACTTGTTACTAGAAGCGATGCACTTGTTCCTAGTAGCTTCTTGTTCCTAGTAGCGATGCCAGGAGCCCCTAGTAGCTTCTTGTTACTACTAGTAAGGCACTTGTTACTAGAAGCGTGGCACTTGTTACTAGTAGCGATGTAGTAGCTATGGCCTCCAACCTAGCATTGCTGGAATTCCCTCTCTACATAGCCAAGGGGAGCAAGGCCCACGACAAGCCATTCCCTGCCACTGCCGGCAAGCAAACTCATCTCTCACGCCTTTTTCAGCTCCCTTGAAGAGATCGTGCATGCATGGCCTACGCATTCGGAAGACCAAACCTGCGCAAAAAGGGCTTAAAAACAAGTCTGGACTAAAACACAAAAAATATCCAGTAGCTGTCCATTGATTGTTTGGTCCCGTTTTGGTCCCTTTGCCTCGATTCCATGTGGTCCCACCAAAGACCTATCCACGTTGCGATTGTCTTTCATAACAACCATGGCTATACTTTTGCAGCAACCGGTAGGTGTACTCAATTGTGTCAAGATGGTGGGTTTAATTGGGTTTACATATGTTTGCAATGGTAACCATGGCTAAGCCCCCTAAGTTTTCAACTATGGCCCCTTGGGCCCCTTGGGTCTTCCGTTTAGTAGGTCATGTCTTCATTTCTTCCACAAGAACTTGTTGGGGGCTCCTGGTTCAATGCTGAAGCTAAGTCAGATGAAGTTCCCGGAAAACGCCCCTGGAAACTGCAAGAGGTCGTTGGGCAAAACACCCCTCCTAGCAGTAGTCTGCCACCTTCTACATTGCCAACAAAGTACTTGGAAGCTAAACCCTGCTTCTGCACCTTCAAGTTTGCTGGATTGGTCTCCGAGATCTATGGCTCACAGCCGAGCCGTTGGCATTCTGAAAGAGCTCGAAGGGATGCCTCAGTCAGACTGAGTCAAACAAAGGAGCCACGCACTTGGAAGTCTGACGAAGTCAAAGATGATCTTTCATTTCAAGATGCTCTCCATATCTCTCCATATTTCTTATCGGGCACTCATCGGAGCACCCAGGTATTGATGGCTCAACCTGTGCCAAACCCATGGCACGGCTTTGCGGGTGTTCAACCCGCATTTCACAACTTGACTCACCATTCCAAGGACATCTAATTCAGTCAATCCCAAGTCCCCAATCAATCTATGAGATGAAGACACAGATCACCATCGCTTCTTTGAACTTACTAGTAACAAGGGCATTACTACTAGTAGCAAGGACGCTACTAGTAGCTAAGTGCCTTACTACTAGTAGCTAGAAGCTAAGAGTATCAAGGATGAATTCTTTGCACTCCAGTTGCTTTCAGCGCTTCACTCCAGTGGTCTTCGCTTTTGCCCGACCGCAGGTCCTTAGGATCGCTCGTGCAGAGAGGTGAAGAAGCAAATGGGGAGGCGGAAGCTTGAGTAGAGAGAGACCTAGTGCTTGTTACTACTAGCTTCTTGTTACTACTAGTAAGGCACTTGTTACTAGAAGCGATGCCCTTTGTTCCTAGTAGCTTGAGTAGAGAGAGACTTGTTGAAGACGTGATGCTGTTTATCTTTTTTGGATCTGAAATATGTCGTAGACCTTGCGTACTCAATGAACATGTCGGACAAGTGATGTGTACTTACTTTACTTGTCTACAGTCTATGTCCTCGGGCTGGACCACATGGATCGTCCCAGAAAAGAATCCCTGCAAGGTGGTTGCAAGTCGTTGTGAAGCACCTCACTGCCACACTCCATGACTTTCTTTCTCAACAGGAAAGTCCCCTTAGTTTACCAAACCCCTTCTAACATTCGATTGGTGTTCTGGAGCAGTCTCTGGAAACTCTTTCCATTCGTGTCTGTGACGCTTTCATGGTCGTACACTCCTGCCTCTCAGCATGGTCGTTGTGGAGACCACAAGAAGTCGTAAGGACTTTGCCGCGGTTCGCACATGAGGTAAAATTGCTTTGATCAACATGGCTCTCTGAACAACCACTCAATCGTAGGAACCTTTCGACCTTTCACAAGATCCATCATCGAGCATGTATCTGATCTATCTTAAGCTCACTTGCACCGCAAACCCGCCAAATGACCTCCTTTGGGGACCTCTCAACTTTTTTCTGGCGGTCGGGGGACACACCAAAGCTCGGGCCTCTCACTTTCGTTCGACCCAAATGACTCTGAGCTTCTCCATTCGCTTCAATGGGAGGTCCGTCTCATCCGTTTCGCAAAACCGAAGAAGTGCCAAGACGAAGTTGGCAAGCCAAAGGCGAGACGCAGGACCTTGTTGGGTGTTTTCAGTCAACACGAAGAACACGAGTCAAAAGAAGAATTTCACGTAATTTCTTAACATTCTAAATCCACCTCCCAAAAGCATGAAGGGTCCTAAGAAGCACAGGAATTCAACATACCCCGTCACATGCTGGGCCCGTTCTGCCTGGAGAACGGAGATGTCCGACCTCACCGGACTGGTCTCTGGCCGAGGTCCGTTGCAAGCCTTCTCGAATGAACTCCCTTCCCAGCAAGTCATGTGCATGTCTAATGCCTAATAGCTTCTAGCTACTAGTAGTAATGGCCTCCAACCCTGTTAGCTTCGTGCTACCAATTACACCACCGTAGACCCCAAACAGTTTTCAAAATCGAAACTAGA